TTCTCTCTCATCATGGATATTTCTCTCTCTCTCCCCCTCTCCCTTCTCCTCTCTCTAAAATCAATAAAAACATTTTTAAAAAAATAACAGCGGTATTATGTACTACACTAGTAGACATTCCTTGAATTTATTACGTTTCTGAAAACCCACTCCAATGCCAAACATGTGAGAACTGACCAGCAGAAGCAGAAGTTTTAAGGGCGGTTGTTCTCAGCGTCTCAAGCGGCTGAGATTCTCCTGAGGAATTTCTGTAAATGCCGTTTCCGGATCCAACCGGACTCTGGGTCCAGGCGGAGGAATTTTCATTCCTGAACGCACCTCGGGTTATTCCGATGCAAGCCGTTCACGGGCCCCGTATGAAGAGCTAGATCTTGGGGGACGCTGCGATTCCCAGATGGCGAACACCACGATCACACCCCTCTTTTCACCTCACTGTTCCAGACACTACCTTTCACAACCTCTTTTTAATTTTGCACGCGTTTCTTAACTGTTGGTTTTCATTATTGAACACAATGAGAACAATCAAATAGCCCGGCCAGCGTGGCTCAGAGGTTGGACGTCGACCTCTGAACCAGGAGGTCACCGTTCGATTCCATGGGTCTGCGTGCAGGAGGCAGCAGATCCACGATTCTCTCTCATCATTGATGTTTTTATCTCTCTCTCCCTCTCCCTTCCTCTCTGAAATCAATAAAAAATGTATTTTTTTAAAAAAAGAAGAAGAAATCTAATTGACAACCAACCATCATTATCTCTGCTTCGGTGGAAGATGGGGTGCCTCCTGAGCCCAGTGTCATCTGACATCTGCTGCCATGGGGGTAGATGAGTCTGATGCATCGGTACCCACCTATGGAACAATCTAGATTGCGCCTTTAACAGGTTGGGTGGGGAGAGAGTTGAGGGAGGGGCAGACACCATAATAGATGTCCCTGGCCATCACCTCAGCTGTGTCTGGCATTATTAAATCTTACTTTAGCCATTTCTTGTATTCGCTGCCTATCCTAGATCATAAACACGTTTTTTAGGTCAAAGGTGGTTCTGTCTTCCCTTGCCACTGATGCTGCTCTCGTCACCTCTTCCCACCCCTATCTCAGAACTCAGAGCTAACAAGCAAGAGCTAATGAATCAAAAAGCCCACGCCACCTGATCCTGGGGTCTTCGGGGAGAATATAGGGCTTGAGCCGAATCTGTGGGAATTCCCTTTCCGATTCATTTCCCCAGCTCCTCTGTGGGTTGTGCTCCCTGCTCCCCTGGGATGGCACCGACATGACAGATGGCACTCGCCTGCCCAGTTTATTCTGCCACACAGGAAGGGCTATATTCTTTTGCTAGAAAACGTTTATAAATCACTGTTATGCATTGTTAGGCAGGAACAGTGTAAAACAAGAGAAATGCATGCTATTTCATACATGGAAACACTAGGCGTTTGCGGATGGTAAGATAAGATTCCTATGTATCCGTGGATCATGGAAACATCATTTGGAGATGTTGATGTACATGCTGTAGGCGGCCGGAACGGCACCCGGTGTCGGACCCGCGGGGCCAGACCAAACCTGGGTTCAGCAACCTCGGCCCTTGGGTTCCGGCTAGGAAAGAATTCACAGCCCAGACCCGAACTGTAAGAGACATTTACTGGGTAACTCACAGAGGGAGAAAGAGTCATTCCTAGAAGAAAGGGGCTGAGGAAACGAGTCATGCAGGTACAGGAAGGGCCCTGGGAGCTTGGGAGTGAGGAAGCTAATGGTAAGGTGCCTGGGGCTGAGAGGGGGAAGGGAAGGCAAGAACTTGCTCCCCAGAGGGAGAGGCACTGGGTCCTCCCTCATAAGGGTTCTAAGGGCGGAGACCTTAGGGGAGGCCCCAGGGGAAGATCTCAATAGATTCTATTGAATAGAACAGTCAGCAGCTTCCCAGGGGTGTCCATCTAGGGCTGTGGGCTCCAGGGATGGACTGGCGGCACCAGGGCAGGGGTCATCATCCAATGCCGCTGGCCCTGACATCCACTGTGGCCGGTTTCCTTGTGTCTCTGGGCCTGGAGCTGAAACACAACTGAGGCCTAGATGTTATCTCTTGGGAGGAAAGATCAGGGGGTCCACACGGCATGACCAGCCATATGCCAGGGGAGGAAGACTCACCTGGGGGGGAGGTCCCACCACAGATGATTGCCCCTCGCTAGGCACCTAGGACTTTCCAACCTGATGACCTTGTGTACCTGGCCCACAGTCTGCAATTGTGGGGAGGGACCTCCTCCCCCTCCCCCCACTCCCCCAGGGTGACTGCTCCTCCACTAGCATATTCCCTAATCACCTGACGACTGGGCATCAGGGTTCACTCCTTACTCATCCAGTTTTGCTTCTCATTAATTGAAGGAAAGAGGGCTTGAATTCTTGCCCTTCTAGGCAAGTTTCAAATTTATCGATGGCTTGAAGTTACTCAGGGTTTTCTTTACACGGCCTCTCCAGTGAAATCAAGAGCTAGAATGAGGCCTCCCCCCAAAAAAAATAACAAGCAGAAAATTTAACCCCCTGCTTGTTTTCGTCAGTCCCCCCCCCCCTTTTTTTTCTAGAAAGACAATTCTAAGAAAGCGCCAATTATTGGCAACTGAAGAGAACCTTCCGGAATCTGTCCTGGAATCACGCGGAACATGAATGTTCACCAAGTTGCTCAGATGATCTCATGAACTGTCAGCTCTCCATGCAAACACAGGCAGAAATCAGAACCTGCTCTATGAGCACCACATTTTTGGCGGTTGAGTAGCTTGTGCAGAAAGATAATCTCCAAGAGATAAGGAGGAAGAGGCTGTGTCTGCTATCTGCCTTCATCACCTGCGGCAAGTCCCTTTATCCTTCTCCAACTCCGTCTCTCTACCTGGAAAGTCTCCTTTCTTTCCCAGGCTGTTGGGGACGTCAGGGGACAGGCATTCTACACACTCGAGGATTTATGGCCGGGGGGTGTTTTTAACTGCCAACCTAAAGCCAGGGAATGGATTGGGGTTTGTTCAAATCATAAGGACAAGCCATGTGAGGCGGGATTGGGATCGGCACACACCCCAGCCTGACGTGGTTTTGTTTTGTGTTTCTCTTGTCAATTGCAGGTTGGCCCATTTTGAAAGTAGGTTTCATGGCAGAATTCCTGGAATGCGCCCAAGGAAGAGAGAAAAGCAGGCAGGTAGTCAGTCTGGTGATAATAAGACATTTCCAAAAAACGAAATGTGTTGTTGTTTTTTCCTGTGATTTTTGCAACAAAATGGGCGATGCCTTACGATGGGACCAGAATATCAAATACCAAGTAACATACAAAAGGGATAAAAATACTGGGAAAGACTTTGTTTTCAAGTCAAATCAAAATAGAACGATTTCAGAGGCAACGGCTTCTTGTCAAGAATAACTGTCATTCGAATTCCCAGAGGCACCGGTGAGAATGAGTTAGGGACCAAGACTAAAGAAGGATCTGTTCAATCAAACACGCTGAAATGTTATTTTAGTCCTAATTTTCCCAGTCAAGATTAAATTTTTACAAGGATTTACTATATTGTTTGAGTTTGCATATATATGTATATATACTAGTATATATATATAGATACAGATATAGATATAGATTTCAGAGAGGAAGGGAGAGGGAGAGAGAGAAACATCCATGATGAGAGAGAATCATGGATCGGCTGCCTCTTGCACACCCCCTACTGGGCATGTGCCCTTGACCAGAATCGAATCCAAAACCCTTCAGTCCTCAGGCCCACGCTCTATCCACTGGGCCACACCAGCTAGGGCCACTGATAAAAATTTTAATCCAGGAAACTTTGTCAGTCTTCTCTGGCTGGTGAACCACACTGAAAGTCTCTTTCTTGAGACGATTCAGTGCGGAGAAGACCACAAAGTCATGAAGAGTGGGAGCTGGTAGGCATCGCTGGGGCCTCCTGATGGAGCCCACGGGCCCACGGAGCCCACGGAGCCCAGGGGTTGGTCTGGCGTCCCTGCTCCACGTTCCGGGATGCGGAAGAGTCTGATTTGCATTAGGAACCTCTGCATTCCATACTCAGAAAATAGGATGATGATGATGATGGCCACCAAAGCGCTCTTTGGAGCAGAAAACAAACTCGGACAATGAGTGTTTTTTCCCCCCACGGCGTTCATTCAAGATTTCATTCCTTGAGCCCTCACTTAGGTTATAAGGCTCAGCGTGCTTCTAATTGCACTGGCCTCAGTTATTCAAAACAATAGGGGAGAGAGAGAGAGAGAGAGAGAGAGAGAGAGAGAGAGAGAGAGAGAGAGAAGGGGTGGCCTATCACCCAGGCTTCGGACATTCTTCACATTGCAAACCCATCAACAAAAGAAGGGAGAAGATCTGAGGCGAACGAGTGGTTTCTGCGGATTCAGGGGGGACGAGAATGTCTCTACATAAACAAGAAGCTCTGGATGGCAAGTTTCCTTTTTTAAAAAAATAAAACATAAAAATGTTGCCGCTCGCCCACAGGGTTGTAAAGCCACAGGCTGGACG